CTATGTACCAGTCTGCTCAATTATTACTTCAAAATCGTTCTTAAATCGGAAATATACATATATTCAAAACAAAACATTGATAAATTCGATTTTGTTCCATGTAATATTTTAATTAAAAGATTTTCGTCAAAATTTAATATAAAAATTCCTTTATAAAAAAAATAATATATTGAATTCAAATTTTTTTCTTAACAACAAAGTAATGATTTTAATGAACCTCCTGTTAAATTCTACTATTTAATTACTATTTAGTCTCATAATTTTACAACACAGAACACCTTACGAATAAAAATTACGTATAAACTAGCAAAATAAAATGTCTATAAAATAGCTTCAACATTGTTTACATTTTTTGAAAATTTTATCAAGTCTAGAAAAAACAAATATAAGTAGGCTGTCCAAATTTCAAGTCTCTACAAATATTTTTAACGAAAACAGAAGGGTACGATGCTGGTCAAAAACAGTTATTTAATCGGTACCTCACGACATGATGCTGAATACGTATAATATGCTAAATACGCATTAGTGGAATAGACATACAAGTAGCTTGGACCGTAGGATAAAATATTAAATAATTAACAGTAATTATTATTATAATTAGAGTTAATTTCAATGAATAATGGACTCCACCGAGCATATACTTCGTTAAATTGTGTATTACAATAATGGACTAAGACGATTTGACGATTTTAAAACTACCCACATATCTTATTTTGTANTAGCTTGGCTCGTAGGATAAAATATTAAATAATTAATAAATTAATTAATAACAGTAATTGTTATTATTATTAGAGTTAATTTCAATGAATAATGGACTCCACCGAGCATATACTTCGTTAAATTTTACATTACAATAATGGACTAAAACGTTTTGACGATTTTTAAACTACCCACATATCTTATTTTGTATCTAGTTTATAATTATAATCTTGGTTCATGATTATATCAGAACTATTAAAAAAAAATATGACTGTCAATCATCAGCACCACTTTGATGAGCTATAATCAAATGCTATAATACTTAATACAATACTATATTAAACTGTACTAGAACTATAATACTTTCAAGGGAATTGTGATGTTTGAGTAAACAAATAGTAGGGGAGAGACTGTGGGAGTTTGGTTTTGAAGTACCCAAAATATAAGACAAATCCTTGATACAACACATAATATTGCATTAATAATCTTGGCTTAATTTGGTAGGAGTCATTTGGGGTGTTTTAAGATAAATAAAAAAAAACATTCTTCCTATATTAAACTATACTAGAACTATAATACTTTCAAGGAAATTGTGATTTTTGAGTAAGCAAATAGTAGGGGAGAGACTGTGGGAGTTGGGTTTTGAAATACCCAAAATATAAGACAAATCCTTGATACAACACATAATATTGCATTAATAATCTTGGCTTCATTTGGGGGGAGGGATTGGTGGGAGTCATTTGGGGTGTTTTAAGATAAATAAAAAAAAACATTCTTCCCAAAACAATATAGTTAAATTTAATCCATTTATCACTTCAGTTTGTTTGTAAAACAACTCTATTTCCCGAATTTAAACTAAGTTTGTTTCGGGAGGAGCAGCTATAGGAATTCTCAAAAGTAACGGGAAAAATATTATACATATCCAATGTATCTACATTTGTCTACAAAAACATATGTTTAACAGTCAAATTAAGTTCATCTATGAGTATTTAAATATTAGTGATGATAATTAAAATTAAAACTTTTAAATTATTATATTAAAAATCTAATTAAAATGTTTACCTATAACACGATCTACCCAATGTTTGACGTTATAATTTGTGTTTGAAATTAATTCATCTAGAAAAATATACAGAATCTATTATATAAATGTAAGAATAATAATTTTACGGATATTAATTTCATTTAAGAAATTGCATATATGTAGAAATGTAGGGTCATTTAGTTTATACATTGAAAGCAAAAATAAATTTTAATTAAATGATACAAATTTATTCTGAACGGAACTCGATAAACTGGTAACTTTCCAGTTATACGGTTTTAGTAANATTAGATTTTGTGTGAAGTTGAAAAACGTTCCTTGAAAATTTTCCTTTAGGAAAATATTAAGTATTAATGATTTTTGAACCCATATAGTGACATTTAACTGGTATAGTAATAATATATATATCATTTAAAATTACAAGATTCTAATATTACTGCAAACATCATTAATTTTTTGTGACATCCAGTCATTCCTTATCAGGGGCGACATTTTAATATTTGTTAGGGTAGGGCATAATAATGACTGGCCTAATATGTATAATACTTTTAAGTCCATACCAAAAGAGCTTATATATCTGTACCTCTATTTACGACAATATTTTCGATTATTATCTTAAATCTTGCATTGTTTCCGCCTGATGAGCTGCTGCAGCTTGTAGTATTGTCGAGATACACTTTTTCCCGGAGACTAATTAATTATTTGGACTGTGTTAAATGAAGAAGAATCAAGCACATTGTGCTTGTTTTATCGATGATGACTTATAGATCATTTTCAATTCATAATATTATATGCGGACCCGGAAACTTTACCGCGACAGACTAGCGGTCACCGTCTCACGGCCACAACCTAGTAATTTTAGTACTTAATCCGAGAGGGGGTAAATTTACATAACTATCACAGCAAAGTCCACCTTAAACATACCAAGTCCATAAATATTATTGAAGTTATGTGTTTCTAGGTGGGGAAATTCTCAATTCTCCTCCTCCATAAATACGACTACTGCAGTGCACAATGCATAAATGTGTAATCTGCAGCTTGTAAAATAATTTTAGTAGACATATTTATAACTAGTCCCTTTTTTAAGGGAAGAGGATGTGAAGGTTAAAACCTGTGGCCAACCCTCTCACTCAAAAAAAAAAAATTAAATTAAAAATCAAGTGCCATCAAATATTGACAAACAAAAATTATACTAGGAGGAGGGTGGGTGAAAGGGATGGCCACAGGTTCTATCTCCCACCTTTTCCTCTTCTTAAAAAGGCACTCCACCACGGTTTGATCAGCAGCATGATATTTTATTACACGACCAATCGTGGCGTTTATTTTCCCATCCATAGAACTGCGAACGCCCGTGGACGACTCAACGATTCATTGACAACGCGTCTATCTTGCACCACCCTTTAATGTGAACAAATTGTCTGCGACTGATAAAGTGTATTTTGTTGTTATGCGTAATATAAGAATATTAGCATTGCTTAAGTTGTTGTGATTTTGTTGACGTTCCTACCTAACCCACGGGAACCGGTAATGACCACGCTCCCATGTCGTGTCAACTGGTTATAAATATTTCTACTAAAATTTTTTTACAAGCTGTGGATTTTAGCAATACACATTGTGTAATTTATTTAACAATAGTGGGCATGGTATGATTTAGGTAGACTTTTCTGTGATAGTTTTATTTTCACCCACTCTTAAAGAAGAAAATTCTCTAAAAAGTACCTTAGGTCACAGCTACAACAATTTTATTAATAGACACAGGAATCGGGCTCTAATTTATATTTATAAAATATAATATTTTAAGACATAAAATAAGAAATTTACATTTAATTAATTATAATATTACAATGCATGTTATAAATTTACAATACAGAGTCTAACCTCCGGTTTTTGATATAAGAGAATCTCCCAATGACATAATCCACTGGTATATTTATTTTCTGTTAAATATGCAACAGTGCAAGCCCACATAACCGTTAACGTCTATTACTAATTTACACTGTGTAAATTAACATTGTTTCGTTAGATGTTGGGTAAAATATATTATAGCGAAAACTGGAAAAACTAACTAAACTTAACTAAAAAATTATGGCTGTGATACAAGAAAAATATCTTCCGCAAGAAATCTCACTATTACATGGTGACGGCTACACTATTGCTTGCAACGGTAAGGTCTCACACCGAACAGTGAGAACAAGCTTATCATTCTTATATTATTAACCTTACCGGTGGAATCCCGAAACGGTCATGACACTATCACGTCACTGTTTTGTGTAAATAGACTTTAAACTATCCTGGCAAATTTATTTTGTAATTAGAAGTCATTGATACGGTTGAACCGCCTAAACGAAATGATAACATAAGAAACTTTGACACAGTTTGACAACGAATAATAATATTTTAGTATCTATGGATTTCACTATTTTATTATATTACAAAAGGACAGACATACTTCACACGATGGGTGAGTCACTATTGTAGGTGAGACGTTAGTAAGGTAGGAAATAAAGGGAAATTTAATGTAAATCTGTACGCAACGATTAATCATTGCTAACGAAAAAAGATCCTGATATTAGGTTAGGTTAACCTAACCATCTGAGCAAAGTTCAGTTTTAGTTGGTAAAGACTTAAGTAATTTTAGTTTGTATACGATGTTAAAATGAAAATATTTTTATATATGAGGGAGTTTTTTAGTTATTTATTATCCAAATCCTATTAAATAACAACATGTGTAAAAAAAAAAATCGATTTGGAAACCAATTTAAAATAGAACCGACAAATATACATTTACGAAAACGTTTTTCAACAAAAATAGTTAATAACATTTTTAATACAAATTTAAATTCTTAAAACTAAGATTTTCACAAAAATAAAAAAAATCATTCAAAATAAAAATTCGCACATGTACTCATAGTCGAAATTTTGGTACTTTTTTACACTCCAGAATTGTTGTTACTATTTGTTAATGAACTCAACGCAATAGTAATCGTATTTTAGCATATTATATAAATAATATAGGTTTATATTTTATTTCTTTTCTATTAAATTGAAATTTAGTGTGATAATTTTTTAATATGTGTATTTACTGAGTATAATATTGTCGGTGATGTTAGTAGGGGAATGGGAACCTACGGCAAAGTAAATACATGAAATATAATTGGACGGTGTAATGCCTCCGTAACCAGTGAAGGTAATTTAAATAAAAATACTTTGTTAATGAGATTCTATTCGAAATAATCCAAAAAGTCTGAATTATTTCATGGATTTGTTGACACATTTAACTAGGTAAAATTACCCCAGGACGGTAATTGTAATATGATTTAAGAAGCGGTAGATTTCAGACAAAATATCGATAGCAGTTTTTTATGATTTGAATTTAAAAAAAATATTGATTTTGTGATTTTTTTTTTATGTTGCAAAATATTTTGTGAGTATTAATTTTGTTCATTTTTTCGTTTTTCCTACCTTTTTTCCCGAATATTCCTAATTATTTTGGAAACCGGTTAAAAAAAATCAAAAATTTCCCTTTACAATGTAATATTCAGGTAAAATTAAATTTCGGAATTGTTACTACTTTTTATTATCAGAAATTCCTGGTAAAAAAAGTTGTTTACAGATAAAGAAAGACAAACTTTGCATGATGGTTGTGCCACTATTGTAGATGTGAATTTTCATCTCTTTCTCCAATCTTCCATTTCAAGGGTTATCAGATCTTCCTCCATTATGTGGATCAATATTTTCCTAGGTTTTCCTCTAGGCTTTTTACTCAGTGGTTTCCACTCCAGTTCTTTGCTAATTTTATCGTTCTCTCCTCTTATCATTATGTGACCTAACCATTGTATTCTTTGGCCTAAAACGAAGCTCATTACTGGTGCTAGTTTCATCATATTGCACATTTATTTGTTTAATCTCTTCCGCCCGTTCCCAGTTGTTTCATCGATGATAGATTGATGATGTTCTCAAAAGTTCCCAGGTTTCTCTCTGTTTGCCTGGTTTTCGTCCAAGGTTCACAGCCATACGTGATAGTCGATCTTATACTAGCCACATAAGCCTCAAATTCGTGTTCTTAGATATAGTTATGGTTGTTAAGAATTTCGTCTGTGTGTAGCATGTATTTTGGACTTAATTTTATTTATAACAATACTTATTTTTAAATTTTGAGTGGAGCGAAGAAGCTTATAGTTTTACAAAGATGTTTATTTTTTTTTCTGTGGACAACATTTTCACCAGAAATCTTGCTTCGATTTTTAATTTTAGCAACCTTTCTGAAAAATAATCTGTNGGGAGTTTTTTAGTAATTTATTACCTAAATCCTATTAAATAACAACATGTTTAAAAAAAAAAATCGATTTGGAAACCAATTTAAAATAAAACCGACAAACATACATTTACGAAAATGTTTTTCAACAAAAATAGTTAATAACATTTTTAATACAAATTTAAATTCTTAAAACTAAGATTTTCACAAAAAAATCATTCAAAATAAAAACTCGCACATGTACTAATAGTCTAAATTTTGGTACCTTTATACACTTCAGAATTTTTGTTACTATTTGTTAGTGAACTCAACGTAATAGTAATCGTATTTTAGCATATTATATAAATAATAAAGGTTTATATTTTATTTCTTTTCTATTAAATTGAAATTTAGTGTGATAATTTTTTAATATGTGTATCTACTGGGTATAATATTGTCGGTGATGTTAGTAGGGGAAAGGGAATCTACGGCAAAGTAAATACATGACATATAATTTGGTGGTGTAATGCCTCCGTAACCAGTGATGGTAATTTGAATAAAAATACTTTGTTAATGAGATTCTATTCGAAATAATCCAAAAAGTCTGAATTATTTCATGGATTTGTTGACACATTTAACTAGGTAAAATTACCCCAGGACGGTAGCCGTTATTGTTACCATTGTTGTTGTTGTGTTGTTATTTGGGTGTAAACTGATATCGTGTGTTTACTACCAATATTTCCGTAACGGATACCTATATTATTGCGTGAGACATTATTGTTTTTGGTCACCTATTCTCCTCGAATTTCGATGTTGCGAGTCGACTTTGTATACATCGACGACGCCAGGCAGGTCCGTGGTTGGCGATTAAACATCCATATTGGTTTAACTGTCATTACGTATAATAGACGTTTGTTTGCAAAATCTAGTTTGGAATGTCTTCCAACTAACCAGTACAATTTGTGCATTTTTTTCTTAATTTTTAATTTTTTTTACAAATACGATGCTTCCGAAGAGTCAAGGTGAATATCTAAGTATTTAGCTAAATCTTTTTGTAGGCTTATTGTGTGATCCAGTGACACTTGGATATCCTCAGTTTTGCGCAAAGTAAAATTTATGTGCACTGAATTGTTACTTTTAATTAGAATTTTATAATGTCTTGTCTAATTTAAAATGTTGTTGATTGAGATCTGTAAGTAATCAGTCTCAGCCTGTGTTGATCCTTATTGGTCGTTAAAATTACCGTATCGCCAGCAAACATAGCGGTCATTGATTTGTTGTTTGTAGGGATATCGGCTGTGTAAAGCAGATAAAGTTAAGGTCCTAGAACTACTACCTTGTGGTACACCAGCCGATATATTCCTCCAATTTGTTATCTCCTCTTTATGAATGACTCGAAACTGTTCAGCCAAGTAAAGATCAAGAAACGCGCACCAGGTGTGTAACAATTTTTCTCGTTGTTTCATGGGTAGTTTTTTATGCTAAACTTTATCAAAAGCTTGAGCCACGTCTGGAAATACTCCACAGCAATATTTTTTTTTCTTTCAGAGTCTTGCTAGTAACGTTTGTGGTGTTATAAAGTTCATTGAGTTTTGAATCCAAATTGATGATCAGGCATGAAGTGTCTATTCTCTATTAGTGGTTTTGATTGAATGAGAAGCTTTTCAAAGAGCTTCGCAAACTTGATAAAAGCGATTTTGGTCTGTATATGAATAAGCTTACTCTAGTGGATCCCTGGTTTCAATAACATAATTAGTCGCATTGCATTTTTAAATTGCTTTGGGACATATTTCGTTGGTATAATAGCAATATATATACTAGTAAGAAGAATAGTGACTTTCTTTAAAAGTTCTTTAGGTATGCGTGGACCGATCTTATTAAAACCGAGTGCCTTTTTGGGTTGATATTGGTGTAAATTTCATAGGCAACTTCGAGGCGTCTTAAACTGTGAAGTAACGTATTGTTACTTTCGCTACATTAAGTAGTTGGTTTTGTATCATNAAAGCAGATAAAGTTAAGGTCCTAGAACTACTACCTTGTGGTACTCCAGCCGATATATTCCTCCAATTTGTTATCGCCTTTTTATGAATGACTCGAAACTGTTCAGTCAAGTAAAAATCAAGAAATGCGCACCAGGTGTGCAACTATTGTTCACGTAGTTTCATAAGTAGTTTTTTATGCTAAACTTTATTAAAAGCTTGAGCCACGTCTGGAAATACTCCACAGCAATATTTTGTTTTCTTTCAGAGACTTTCTAGTAACGTTTGTGGTGCTATGAAGTTCATTGAGTTTTGGAATCTAAATTGATGATCAGGCATGAAGTATCTTTTCTCTATTAGTGGTTTTGATTGAATGAGAAGAAGCTTTTCAAAGAGCTTCGGCAAACTTGATAAAAGCGATATAGGTCTGTATATGAATTAGCTTACTCTGGTGGATACTTTGTTTCATTAACATAATTAGTTGTGCCTTTTTAAATTGCTTTGGGG